AAGGAAACTGGTTTAATAAAAATATTGATAAAGGAAGGAAAGATGGAAGGAAAAATTGATGTTTATTTTTATAATGTATCTTAAAATATAGTTTTCCTCACTGAGAATAGGCCTGGGTTTGTCACCATTCCTGAACTTATGAAATGTACGCTGTGATTTCAAGTTATTATCTGTATGAGTAAAATATGATTTCTGCAAAAGAAGAAGTTGAAATAAATCTTCTTAGTCTGAGTCAAAATATAGGGAAGACTGGAGATTTGGTTCCCTCAACCTTGTGGCCTGAGTTATTTCTTAGATGAGCTGATAAAAGTGGTTTCAGCTTTGGCATTATAGACTTTTTAACTTTTGTTGGGAGATTTCAATATTCATGTGAAAAACCTATTTGGTGATTAGGCATATGGCTACATCTCAGTATTACTACCACAGAATGATATTCAGTATCCAAAAATCTGGCAGATACCTGGCTAAAGATTTTTCATACATTGAAGGAGAATTTTCCAACAGGAAATTGAAGGCAGAGTAGCCTATCTGGCCCCGGAAACTTGGGAATGAGAATCAGGAACAGAACCTTAAAGTAACTGGTAAACTAATTCCTCAACAAACTGAGATGGTTGTGTCAACTGACAAAAAGATGTAGAATCTTTCAAAAAAGGAAGCTGGGTGCATGAACATCAGGAAAAACTGTAAATGTAGAACTTGATTGGACTGATTTGCAGTGACAATGTTCTGAGGTATAAAAACTTCTGCAGATGCAAATCTAAATTCTTGAGTGTGTAGAAGCAAGTGACCTGTAGCCTAAGGCAGTGGTGGCGAACCTATGGCACGGGTGCCAGAGGCAGCACTCGGAGCCCTCTCTGTGGGCATGCACGCCGTCGCTCCAGTCCTAGGCCTTCAGCTGGGTTTTCTAAAACCTTTTCGCTTTAGGCCTCCGCCGCCGTGTGCAAAAAAAAAAAAAGATTCAATCAATCAAGACAATTTCAACTTCTCGTGGGAAAAAAAAGTTCTTGCAAAATTGGAATTGATTGAACTTTTTAGTCCCACCCAGTCTGCCGTTACCACCGCAGCCATGCCCACTCAATGGGCCACACCCACCCGGCACCCAACGATGCATAAGTGGGTTTTGGGCTGCAGTTTGGGCACTCGGTCTCTAAAAAGTTCACCATCACTGGCCTAAGGATTGGAGAGGGCTAGAATGCTTGAATGCAAGATCCACCTTGAAGGAGCATTCTGAATAGCAGAGTCTTCCTAAGGATGCAAAGGAATCCCAGGAATCTCAAAGGCAACTGAACTGTTTTTTTCCCTTGAGGAAGAGGGGGAAGAAGACATTTTGCTTCTCATCCAAGAAGCTTCATTGTTTCTGGCAGGATGGTGAAGATGATGGAAGGATTAGTTCTAACAGTACTGAAAGTATCATATTTCTTTGCAGTCATCTGGTTATTAGCATTCTCCCTGAGACCTCCTGAGGCCACTTGGTGGTTTATTTGTGTCCCCAGGGTCACTTGTATAAGAGTGCAAATGAGCGCAAATTTTTCTTCCTTAAGAGAAAAAGCAGTCCAGTTGCCTTTTGAAAAAGCACTAAACTATGACCTGGATGACTGAGAATCTCCACAGAATCCCAGAAATGTGCAGAAAAAAACCCAATCATGGCCATGTGTAAAATTATAGTATCTGGACTATAGAAGACAGTGACCTATATCCCTGTACCAAGAATTATATGACAACTGACCCGATGTAATAAATATTTATCAGTGCTTTCAAAAATCTGTTAAAATCTTCCCAGGTAGAAAAGATTAAAATTATACCTATCTGTGGTAAAGAATTGTTTTTTACAATATTGTCCTTGAATCTTCAGATACAGTTAGAACAAAATAAAAACCACAAAAATAAAATACAGATGAATGATAGCATCTTTGTCTCTGTGCAATCAAAATTGATCTAAGGGAGATCAACATGAGCCATGCCTAATCATGTGTGATATGTATGGATCGCAGGATTTCAGCCAAGATTTATATAAATTCTAGATCTAGAAAATTCTAAACAGGCTATGCTCAAGAGCAGAACCCAAGTACTGTATATGAATCACAAAGATCACAAAGAAGAACTTCCCATCATTTCCACTATTCCTACATCATATAAACATACTGCATTCTTTCCTTGAGCCCTTAAGACAGGGAGTGTTATACTGTACACTGCAGAGAAATTACAGTAATTGGAGGTATAACTAAATAAGTAAGCAAGCAGGCAAAATTTTTAAAACACACTGAATTATTTGTGATGTAGTGGGAAAATAATTCTCTTCATAAAAAAAACTTTTATTTTTTGAAGATCAATTTTATTATAACATTCTAAAACAACAGTTCAAAACTGATACTCAGAATTACTATAAGTAACTGCTTATTTTCAAAAAGTATAAATCCTCCAAGTAATTGGAGTCTAACTGAATGACATTTCTCTACTTTCCACCACACAAACTCTTCAAAGTCCCATTCATTGTGCATATACTTTTAGCCACCTGAAGCCTCACTCCAGTCACACAATGTTGCATTGGACTCTTGCACCCGCCCTTGCCTAATAGCAGCCACTTGAAGCCTTGCTGCATTTGCAGCACGCCGCATTAGACTGTTGTGTGCACTTTTCCTCATCCCACATCAGCCATTTATCTGCCTGCCTGCTTGCAAGCTGCCAGGGGCATGGAACTTCCTGCTAGCTTCTCCACTGACTTTTGTTGTTGGACACCAGCAGGAAGTTGTGAGGGGTTCTCACTTAACAACCTGAAAACCACATTTAATAATAGTGATAGGCTGGGACTGCCATTGCTAATCAATGCAGTCACATGACTGTGCTTTACAGATACATTGCTAAATGATGGAAATGTTAGCTCCAATTAACCCTGTTAACTGAGGACAACCTGTATATGTAAATAGGCACGTATATATATAATTTGAACATTTAGCAAAATGTTGCACTGATTTCCCAACCATACAAAAGACAAAGACATAACATATTGTCCTTTATGATTAAAAAAAGTCAATCAAAACTCTTAATGTATTGGACAAAGGATGCCTACATTATTATTCTTACTCTTTTTTTGATCAGACAATATTTGCAAAAAACAAAGAGATAATGCTTTGGATGCTCTCGGCTTAATATTGTTATTAAGATAAACTCTGACAGAAATGCTCACTGTTCACTGAATAATCAGGCACAGCAATCACTACAAGCAAGAAATTAATGTTATTTGTTGTTCATTACTTAGGGCAAATTCATATATTTTAAAAGTTTAAGTTTTCTCTGAGCTTCAAGGGCACAGTATATACTGTATGATTCTTTGTCACATAAAATATGTGACTCCCTAATCAGTATGGACAATAGCTGCTGTATTCATTGCCTTTCTTGTTTAAAGAAAAACTGAAGCAATTAGAAAAGCACATCACTGGGAAGATTTGGCATCACTAAAGTGAACTAAGAAATTACAACTGATATGAGAATCTTATACTACATGTTGCAAACAATTAGGTTCAAACACCATACTGTCACAATGACAGAATATTGTACAGATTTCCTCAATGCTCTTCTTACACACTGGGACTGAAACGCCTAACTGATGGGGATCCAGTTAAGAAAGGAAGATATAGTCTACGATTCAACCTTCCTACAGTTAAAATTGTAACAGCTCAGCCACAGTTTATTACTACGATAATTAGAAAACCTTTTAGAATATCATCTCAGTTATATCTTTCCTCACATATTTTCCCATTATTAATAATGTTCCAAAGATATTAGCAGCATTTCAACTGTGTTTGGCTTGTAAATTATTATGCCTCAAATAGCTGTGTATAATTTGTTTATACACAAAATTATAGATCAAGTCACAAGTAATAGAGACACTTTCACAGTAAGATTGGTAAACTTTTTTTTCCAGTGTTTGAAGTCAGGAGAGGTGGATTAGCATAGAGAAGTTCATCTGCCCAGTTCAAGAGATTTTGTTGTTCTGCTGGTGGTAATCAGGAAAGAATCAAAAACTGAACAGGATCACTCGTTTTCCCTCTCCATTTAATACTTCACAAGCCCCTTTCCAGAGCTCTCAATACATGATGAGATTTAATAAGTACAATGCTTTATGATGTAGTTTATTAAAACAGAAAGTAGACACATCATATAAATAGGTATGACACGTTATGTGACATTGCAAGTTTGACACCTCTGCTATAATACATTTTAGCAACACAATTCCCCCCTCTCCTTGCACTCAAAGGTACAGATTAATCAGTTTTAAAAAGCTTAATCTGGAAAAGTGGATATAAAACTGCAACTTGTTAATAATAAAAATAATATTTAAAATATTTCAAGTCATCTTTCTTGTCGAATTATTTAGGCTTTAGGTAGATAGATAGATAGATAGATAGACTGAGAAGCTACATACAGGAGACGCTATCTGTTCCTTTAAATATAGTTGAGCTTTCTCTTCATATCAGCACATTTGCCATAGCAGAATTTAATACATATCTGAACAATATATATTCATTTTTCATTTCCCTAAGAATTTAACAACCTCATAGCATCTCTTTTGCTGGCTTGAATTCAATAGGTTTCCTAACTACAGAAAAGTTCCTATGTGTACCTCAGTTAGCTTGTTGACTCACTGACAAAGCTTCAAAGGCTTAAACAGAATCATTTAAATCTATTTGGATATTAAATGTCTTGTTGAAAACTACTGAAGGATTTTTAGAGAAATTTACATGTAATGCCTACTTATTCTGATACCTCAGCTGAATTCAATTTTTTGCAAGGTAAGGCTTATGAAAATTCACAGTGCAGACAAAAGAAAGATGCAGAACTGTTTAACCAGCTTTATTAAATTTCAAAGAAAGAAAAAAATACAAAGACAGAAAAGATTAAAAGAGAAAGGGGGGGGGGAAGGAGTTACAGAAAAAAACAGGAAGCATTGGAATTCATTTATTTCCAAGAAAGTGGTAGCTCAAGTAAAATAATTATTTTACCTTGAGAAGGTAGGTAGGGATATTGCTGAAGTCCACTGGCAATTTCAGAAGGAAACGAGCTGAAAATTCACCAGTCTATCAATTAAAAAGAAAAGAAAAAACGAGGATCTCAATATTGAATTGAGAGTTTGCATTCCTAATAATCTGGAGACATAACTGAAACAGACTGAATTTTTAGAGTTGTGTTAACACACTAAAAGCTAATCACAGAACAAGCAAGGTGTCTGCAGCAAAGCAGACTCCAGTGATAGCAAAATATCTCTCAATTATGTCATTCCCACCTTCCAATTATAATGATCATTATGCGCTAACTCCTAACTCAGGTCTAATGGAATTCAGATCTTGTGGGGACCTTGTGTCCAGTTTCAGTAGATGTATGAGTTGCGTCCTTCCTTAGAAAAAAAGGCCAAATATAAAACTTGCCCTAGTGATATCTTTTAAATACTTAGTCTGCATATTCTGTCAGTACTACATAAACACTTTTTTGAAAGGACCAAATGATAACTGATGTCACAAAATGTAATTCTTGAAACCTCCTGTGACTCATACCTGAGCACTGAAAAATTTTTGAGATTTTGCATTCCCCCTTGAATTTTATGAGACTTCAAGAAAAAAAACCTTTGCAACCCTTGCAACATATTTGAACAATTTTTAATTAATTGGTCTAATTAAATTGCATCTCCTGTGCTGCTATTTTATACAGTTTTTATAAAAGGATTAACTAATGAGGAACCAGCTTTTTAATCACTATATAAGGATCACTACATTCTCAGATTATTACACATTACCCACATATTACACATTATGAAGAAACAATGGTTGGTGATCAGCTCTATTATATAGCAATATTCTATTGCTATATTATTTTGGAAAGACACCAGACATTTTTAGTCAAATTATTACCAATCTGGTCACATCAGATGTTGCATATCATAATTAATTTAATTCATAACTTTGGTCATTCAACAGAAGAATCATTCAGGCAGGACTGTATGCCCCTCAAGTTAGGCAAGTCAGGAAACAAACTCCACAAATCTCACTAAAAGTATACTTTATTGATATACAGACCAGGGGTCCCTAACCCTCCCCCCCGGAGGCCAGGGGCCAGTACCAGGCCACAGCCCATTTGGAACTGGGCCGCAGAATGGTGGGCAAGAGTGGATCAAAGCTGCATTTGTGAAAACAGCACACATGAAATCATGCCTTCTCCCTCCCCATCCCCACTGCCACTAGTCTGCCAAGCTGGAAAAGTTGGAGACCACTGATATAGACCACAGTAACACCATCTTGAAAGCGTGAATATTCCCTTCTATACTTCGAATAGAGGTAGTCCTTATCTTATGGCAATTGGTAACAGAATTTCTATCATCATTGTTGTCATAAGTAAAGTGAGACCCAATTTTACGACAATTTTTACAACTATCTTTAAGTGAATCATGCAGTCATTAAGTAAATCCGGCTTTCCAATGGGCATTTTTTGCTGGAAATGGACAATAAAGGTCCCAAATTATGGAGGTGGTGTGACAGACAGGTGGTGTACAGGTCACTTTTTCTGAGCCATGGTAACTCTGAACTATCATTAAACAAATGGAGATGAGGACTACCTGTACTCTAATGAATTAGACAAGAGTCAACACTTTTTCCTCTGTCAGAGGATTGCTGGTTTTCATGGATCCCTAAATTATATAGATATGCACAAGCTTACCATATTAAAACTACTATTTTAAATTTACCTACTGTATTTAATAGTTTATTTTTAATATTTTATTTTTATTTAATATTGTTTTACTGAATATGCAGGTCAAAATTTAATTATTAAAAATAAATGGTATATACACATAATGAAATCATTTTATTCATTGTACCAGTCCACAAATTAATGCATCATTTTAAGGAGTTACTGAACCAGAGACTGAGAACTCTGTTCTTTAGCTACTTCCTAAAACTAAAAAGTCACTCTGTGAGTGAGATGGACAGTTTCTAAATTTGATAAATAAATAAAAACAGGTTCTATTCTGCTTTAAATTACTGCTTACAATAAATACCTAGAATCATATCCAATTATTTTATTTTTACATGCTGTATGCTATTTCACAATGGTATACAATCACATATTGCTATTGAATCTGCAACTCAATCACAGACAATTTTCTTGGAAATTACCCTGAAAACTGGAGGGCATCATCTCAATATCAAGTGTTGTTGTTACTTTTTATTGCCTCTTTTATTGGAAAAAGAAGGAAAGAGAAGGAAGCATTTCCTGCTCTGGTCTCTTGCATTTTAGTTAAGCTTGTAGAATTTATTTAATTAGAATAAAAATATTTATTAAATGTTAAGATCACTGAGAAGTGCTTTATTGCATTCATAATCTTCAATTCCACATAATTGTTAGCCATAGTTGTTTACCTAGGAAACAAGTTCAGGCAAGGTAATGGAATAAAATTGCTAAACAGCAGGAAGGGAGAAGAGAAACAAAGGTAAACTGAGTACATCTATTTTAAGAAATACACACCTAGGACAAACATCTTCTCCAAATCAGGTTATAGTTACTATGGAAAGGAATCTCTAGTACTGTAGTACTCTTCTGTTGTACTCTTACCCAGTTGTTCTTTTTGCCAGCATAAATTTCCATGTTCTCTCCATACTGAGGTTCTTCAAGTAATGTTTGATATTCAAACATGAGCCGGGAGCTCTCACGTAATCGGCTGCATTGAAACTGGTGATACTGTTGTACAAGTTCCTTTACAACAAGCAGGAGGCATTCAGGATTTGAAGGATTCCAGCAGGCCAAATTCTGTTCAATCAAGAGACAAGTTAACACACGAATAATGAAATTTAATCATATTTGAATTGTCCAAAGTGAGTTTTGGACCACAGGTCAACTTGCATGTTTCTTTTATTTGCCAGAAAATCAATATAATTGTGATCACTGAAACTGATGGATCTTTCACTTGTGGTACTCTAGGTTAAAAAAATTATAAAAACACTGAGCACTCACATTATTTTCCTTCTCTTTTGGTGAAGACATATGGGTACAACAGAACAAAAAGAGTAACACACCTAGTATTTTAACTTCCATATTGGCTTTCCATAAACTTCCAGATGCAAATCAAAATATTTCCTTGATTCATAGGTATTGTTAGATCCCTCTCTAACAGCAATCAGGACTGGAGCAGATCAGCCAAACAACAATTGAATTAAGCAATCAATTAAATAAGAATTGAACTGAGAATGGAATAATTGCAGCACATTTTAGAAGCAGAACCTATACATAAGAAATTCAAAGCCGTTAGATTTGCCTTTTTTACTCCTGTGCTTTCAGTGTACTGGAGTGGATGTCAATCTCCTCTGAGAAAGTGAAGCAGTCCTCACTTCGTTACTAGCTACATCGGTGTAAGAACCCACTCTTATATTTATCTATTCAAGACTTTGGCAGAGGGGAAAAAATTTAAAGGGGGAAAATATGGGCAATCAAGGCAAAACAAGGCTATATATTGTAATATATCTATAGGTTTCCTGGTCTTCGTACCTGGTCACAGTCCTATAAAAATCATTTAACCCAGTAAATTCAGAACACCTAGCCCATTATCTGCTTCCATAATCTAATAATATATAAAAGATTACTATTTTTATAGATTTGTAAGGCACACAAAGGGGTAGAAACCTATGCAATGCACCATCATTTTGATTCAAAGATAGAACTTGAGTTACCACCTCATATTCAGCAACCATTCAAAATTATGACAGTTCTGAACAAGGGGGACTTATGATCACTCCATGAAACTGTGGCCATTGAAGTGGCCCAACAGTCACGTGACTGCTATCTGGTACTTAGGTGCCCAGCTTGCAATTACATCACAGTGAGCTGGAGTCACAAAATTGCCATTTGCAACTTCCCATGCCAGCTTTCCACAAGCAAAGTCAATGGGCAAGTCAGCAGGTAAAGAGATTGCAAGACATTCCTGTAAGTTGCTCCTGTCCTTTTTCAGCTGGGGAGCCCTGCTATCAAAATTCTCGTCCCACTTGCCATCATAACCCAAGGACTACCTGTATGGAGCCATTTTGACCTTATCATTGGAGTACTCAATCTCAATAGAACACCTTGACATTAAAAAAGTAAGATTTTATAATACTCTCAACTGAGATTCAAGAGGCTGCTTGCTTTGGCCAGCTACTGACCTGGAAAAGCAGTCATCAGTGTCCCTCTTTAAATGCCAATGAAGGAATTACTTTGATGAAGATCAGTCTCATGATATTTCCTGTAATAATCTCAAGAGTATTTCAATCAAACAAAGGTTCCCTTCTATCACCACCAATACCCTATAATGTTCTTTTATTTCACTAACTCCTGAACCAAAGAAACTCTTAATCTGTCTCCTCTATTGTCTATTTTCATCCTATCAATCAACTCTAGTGGAATTCTGTCAGCTGTTTTTCACTTTGTCAACAAGTTCTACCCATGATTATATAGGCTCTTTTATGCAAGCATTTATTACTCAATCTTTTTTTAAAATCCGAGGAATACGATCTAAGATCTCAAAGATTTCAAACTATCTATAAATGCTTTTCCAGCTATCTGAAACTCACAAAAGTTTGATTTCCTAATACACAACTGGGGAAAAAAAACCCCACAACTATATTTAATTTCACTTGCCTGTAAATATAAATGATTTTATATGAAATTAAATTTTTGTTCTGTCTCAATCCATTCCTTTATAAAGTGTGGGCTCCAATAGTTCATTCAAAGGTTAAGAATCTTTGTGTAGAAAAATCTTGTGCATTCCAGTTTTGTACATGCATTTGTGAGATATTTAGCTTACATATGGACTTTGGGCATTTGTACCTTGCACAGCCAAGAGAGTACAAATGATTTGGCATCTGATATATATTGAATTAAGATTAAACTCATTATCAATCATCTATTAGACTTGTAAAAATAGTTTAACAGAAAGGTTTCCCACCTTTCTGAAGTACAGACTGCTTTTTTTAAAAAACCAACAACCTTGCATTACACAATTAGAAGTTAATCAAGATATGCATACTTCCATTTCTTTTAATACCCTTTTCACAAAGCTGAAAGCTTAACATGCCTGTTGACATTAATACTCAATAAGAAATGGAAATAACCTTTCTCCCATAATTATGTATTATATTACTAATATTTTGTTAAAGATGTTATCAACATTTTACTAACTGTTCTATACAATAAAAGAATTTTTCCCCAAGTATTATTGAGCTTGAGGAACTTCAGTCACATGACATTAAATAAACGAAAGAAACAAATGGTGTCATTTATTCGCCACAAATAACTTGTTTGTTCTTCCCAAGAAGTTTTGCATCAAAACTAAATTTTATTAACTTTCCCACCCAGATTCATTAATTTTAGACATGAATAATTTTAATTAAATTTAGTTCTAAAGCCAAATAGATTTTTAACACTCCCCCCCAAACACATAGCAGAAAAGTCATAAGGAAAATTTAAAAAGTGGCAAATCCAGGGCAATTTTAATATATTCACATTAGGTTAAACATTCATAAAGCCTGCAGTAGTTAGAATTAATTTCTAAAATTCTTCTCTACAGATACCTTTATTCCCCATATATACTCACATATTACTGGAGCCATAGAAAAATATATTACTTAGACTAACCCTTCAAAATATTTTCAGCCTTTATAAATTTTCTGCAAGCTTTGTATAGAAGATATACCCTAGTATGTCAATGTTGTTGGCCACAAAATACTTTCCACATTTTATTTCTTTAAACATGCCCTTAAAATATATATTCTTAATTATTTATACTACAATTCTGTAGAAGTCAATATTAAGATATAGTTATGCCAATATCAGTATTCCAGTTATATGAGTAAATACACTTGTACTAGAGATAATTATCATATCTTAATCACAGAGAAATACGGTATCACTGATGGTGTGCCACCACAAGGATATGGCAATATACACTGGCAGAAGCATCATGCAGATGACTACTTATTTCCTGGCATGTTTCAGGCAGTATGATGGAAGACAGTTTTCTTGTCTCTACCAAATAAGTACACTTCCAGGAAGTAATTGGTACACTTGATTTTGTAAGTTAATACACAGAATACATTTGCAACTTGGGCAAAATTTTAGCAAGGTATCATACAGTGCAGGGATCACTTTCTTATTGATTTGTGTAATTTTTTTCATTTAAATGCTGCACATATTATTTAGGTGAATGAAATGTTTTGTAATATAAGACTGTGTCCATTTCTTTTCAGGTTGGTAGAAGATAAAGGAAGTAAATGGATGATTAAGACCAATAAACCAATTAGGATCAAGAAATAAGAAGAATGTATCATTCTAAATTAGACAGCAGGAAACAAAGTAAAAACTAAAGTTCTTTGTCCTTGCCTACACACTAAGTGCAGTCTTCCATACTCGTTTGTAAAACAGTCACATTTATGACTTTGCATGTATCTTACAGCTAAGTAAATAAAATTGCAAAAAAACTTACAGGATAGAAGCCAATTACTGCTCAGTCGCTGGATATCCCATATATTCTACACTAATACAATCTGTAAGTAATTAATTATAATGCTTTACTTTTATTAATTCATTTATTGACATCATTTATTGACTCACTCAAAAAGTTAATCATGCTGGGCGTGATCAGTAGAAAAACAAGAATGGACTGCCCTCTGGTACCAGGATGGTACCAGGATCACTATGGCAGATGTGAAGGATGTGGTAAAAGACAGAGGAGCTGATCCATAGAATGGCTGAGGCTGAGGGACACAACTGAATGGCTGACAATGACTACTTTTATTAATAGGGCAATTGCTTAAAGAATTATATGTAGCATCCTTCTATGATTCAGTTCTCTTAGTATAACAATGTAAAAAGTTCTAAATTAAAATCTAAGAGCTGACACTAAAACACTTTTCTAAATCACAGTCTTCCCTTCTTTCCCTCCTTCCTTCCTTGCCCACCTCCCTACAAAAGACTGCCACATAGAATGAAAATCAGAGTACCTGTTCTGATAAAATAAAGTTACAGATTGATTAGTAGCGAACAACAGAAAAACTAATTCACTCCATCTATAAAAGTTGTTTTATTAGCCACTTTAATACATACTTTATATTTCCAATTTACAAGCTTTAGGCAACAGCACCATATACAGAAATATAGGTCCCCTTCTTAACCTCATTATCAATGGCAAGAAAAGAAAATGAAATACATTATAAAGATTAATACAATTTAAGTCAGCATGAGGGAATGTTATCTACCTTATTTTGTAGTACTGTAAGAAATGACACACAGTACAGTTGCAATCCTGAAACAGCCAAATTTAGTTCATGGACTCTCATTACAATTTTGACTCAAATGCTTTTATTTATTCAATCACTTATAGCCTAACTTTAGCTATTGGGATATTATTTTTATACTCTTACATTGCACATGTGGTATGACCAATTTCTCCAACTAAGAAAAGTCAGAATAAGAAGCAACTTAGACTTGTCAATAAGAGAATAAGCAAATAGTTTCTTAATTAAATGGAGCTTGTTTTTCTTAAGAATGTGCTTAAGCATCCAGGTTGCTGGAATATCTTCCAGAAACGTGACTTTGAAGAAGACAGCTTGCTACTGTTTTTCCTGGCTACACTACAGAAAACAGCAAGATCTTTAGTTAGTGTACTTTCATATTTTTAGGAGGAAGAATTAAGTGCAGTAATTGACAAGGAAAATAAATGTCAAGAAATACAAGATATTAAGCCCTTCAGAGTGACTAATATTAAAGTAGAGCTTATCTTCACTGATTAAAAAAAAGATACAATTTCAGTATGCCAGCAAAATAAAAATGTATTTGTGAACTTAAGCTATAAAAGTTTTATTTAAATATTATGAAGCACTACTACACAACAAAAAAACACAAAAAATTAAATTTATTCATCACTAACATTTTCAGCTACATTCAACTGCCTCTGATTTTTTCCACCTGTGTCTAGTGCATAAGTGTCAAATTTATTCACATTTTAAAGCATAGACTTAAAATATCTTAGAGGTTGACCACAAATTTGTAGAGAGCAGAATTCACACAAACTAGATCAGTGATGGCGAACTTTAGAGACCGAGTGCCCAAACTGCAACCCAAAACCCACTTATGTATTATCGGGTGTCGGGTAGATGTGGCCCATTGGGTGGGTGTGGCCCATTGGGTGGGCGTGGCTGCAGTGGTAACGGCAGACTGGGTGGGACTAAAAAGTTCAATCAATCAATTCCAACTTTGCGAGATCTTTTTTTTCCCGTGAGAAGTTGAAATTGATTGATTGAACCTTTTTTTTTTTGCACACAGCGGCGGAGGCCTAAAGCGAAAAGGTTTTATAAAACTCAGCTGAAGGCCTAGGACTGGGGCAATGGCGCACATGCCCACAGAGAGGCATCTGCGTGCCAGCTGTGGCACGCGTGCCATAGGTTCGCCACCATGGAACTAGATGTTCCCTTTGAAGGAAAATATGATTTTTTTTATGAATCTTTTCTCTTTTTCATAACAGGGCTAGAGGCATCATTAGGAAATCTGGAGAAAGTAAAAATCAAAGTGAAGTAATATCTCCTTTGACTATGGTAGCATTTAATTAGCAACTGGAGGACAGCAAATCAGGATCAACATGCCCCTAAAAATATCAAGTATGAAAGCTACAGACACTGTATTTGCAAAGAGCTGCATCAATAAATAATAACTTGAAATCAACACTAACTCTTTTGACAATTCTATGATTACCTTATCTAATATGTGAAAACAAAATCTCTATTTACATTCTTCAGCATTAAAAATAAGTTATTTCAACGACCCTGATGAATTATATAGAATCACTAGCTTGCTGGTATTGTATTGTCTACTTTCATAATGTGATAGAAACTTTTTCAGAACTAAGTATGCTTACCTAAAAGTTACCACTAATGAAGGAAAAAAATACTGATCAGGAAGTCATATCTTCTAATTAATATGCCCCTATTTCTTTTCCAATTACAAAAGTGTCATTCAAAGTAATATTTTAATTTATACTGCCACACATTCATATTCACAATGATAAGGTTGGAGTTGCTGTGCGAGAATGGCATTTCTGTTTCAAACAGACATTATGAATTAAAATAGGATGGAAAATTAGATTAGTCTTAAATAATAACTAATGCCTGACTAGTCAGTCAAATTTACAAGTACTTCTTTCTCCCCTAAAAATGTATATCTCAGTAGTTTGAAACTAAAGGACATACCACAAATGTAAAGGATTTGCCACAACAAAACATACAAAGTATGGTTGAAGAATATTGAATCACTGCTTTCTAACTATACTGCAGTTGTTATACTTACTTGAAATCTCTGTAAGAAAGGAAACAATATGTTAAAGTGCAATTGTAAATTTATTCTGACCATGTTTCTTTCTATACTATATAACAATTAAAGGCTATGTTTCTTGATTAAATACTTCTAATACAAAGTATCCCCACTGTGAGTATACTAATAGAATAAATGTGTTAAATGCATGTAAAATGATAGAATTTATATTCAAAATTATGAATATAATTTTTGTGATAGTGCTTCGGCTCTGGAATTACTTCTCTAGTGATGTGTGACTAATACATTATATTTTTTTGCATCAAGTCAAGATCCTTCATTTGTCCATGCAGTTTTAACTTATAAACTATGGTTTTTGCTGATTTTTATTGCCTCTCATTTTTCATTATTACAATTTGATTAAAGATATCTAATAATTTTTAAATATGAAACATTGTACTTCTCTACTATAAACCCATATATATATATATATATATATACATATTTTTAAAAATTCTTCTTTTAATATTCATTTTTTAAAGAGTGCTATGAAGCGTAGTTCCATATGTTAAATACAAATTTATGACTATGACTAATGTTCTCTCAAGTATATTTATTTGGTACATTCATTATCCACTAATATTCTGAAACCAGAAATTCAAGATCAGGTCTAATTTATGGTCAACAACTGAGTAAAATTGTCATATCTATGTTTTATATATATATCTCCCAAAATGAACGAGCTAAGGATGTCACTCTTTAAAATTAAACTAAACATTCAGGTACTGGACCACTCTTTGAGATCCCTTTCTGGATGCACGTCTGATCTTTTGCTGATGGAAGATATATAAAATATATAATGAAAGCAAATCTAGAAAACAAACCTATTGCGTAGCAAGCAAAATTACAGTGAACAAGGTCATCATAAGTACACATAATCCTTAATAAATCATAACTGGATCCCAATATCTTGGGCAATTTTCATCCTCTCTCCAACTTTCCTATTTTAGGAAAGGTTGTTAAAAAATAAGTCATACTGCGACTTCACATAGTACTGAAATAAGCTGCTTATTTAGATCCCATTTAGTTGAGCTGTAGGCTTAGCTTGGGACTGAAACAGCATTGACTGAACTTTCGGTAGGAGCAGGATGGAGATACTATATCCATACTGGCTGTCCTTGATCTCTCAGTGATTTTCAAGTTAGGGGCACAAACTTTTAGTGGTTCTCCTCCTTTCTTCCTCAGTCAGTGTTGATGGAGAGGAGAGTTTGAACCCACAACCCATTTTGTGAGGTTCCTCAAGGTTCACCACCACCTCCACTCCTCTTTTACATCTACACAAATCCCCTAGGTGAGGTCATTTGACAGCACAAAGTAGATATCATCTGTCTGCTGATGATAACCACTCATGTGTCCCTGGTCCAAGCCAGCCAAGTGATGCTATGTTCTCTCTCAGTATCTGGAGGCTGCGTGGGTGTGGATGGGGAAGAACAAGCTTCAAGAACATGCAAGACCAAGTGATTGTGAATTGAGGCCCTCCTGGATCTGGTGAATTTCTATCTTTATTTCTAGATGGGGTTGCATGGCCTCAGACAGAACGAGTATACATTTGGTGAGTCCTATTCAAAGAATAAATGGCAGCTATGGCCCGGGGGCTTTTGCACAACTCCATTGTGTACCAAGTATGCTCATTTGTGAATCAGGTGGCACTATGCATGGTCACCCATGCATTGGTCACCTCCCAACTAGAATACCATAATATGCTCTACCTGAAATAGACCCTGAAGAACATTCAGAAGCTGCAATTGATCCAGAATGCAGCATCAAGAACAACTATGGACATGCCACAGTATGCCCATGTTACAGTTTGCCAACAGGCTTTCATATGTAATTCAAATAATTTGGCTCTACACCTTCCTGGCATAAGGCCAGGTTATTTGAAGAACTGCCTTTTTCCAATTGTCTCCATTTGTATTATGAATTAAAGAATATTATCTGGCCAGACTCAGGAAGTGTGCTGTTTCTGTAGCAATGTCATTCCTCCTGAGATTAGATTAGCTTCAACCTGTCTGAGCCTTTGCTAAGTCCTTTAAGATCTAGCTTCTCTTTCTGGGAAGAGAAGGGTTAAAGTTTAGGAAAGGTTTGAACCTGTGAGTTAAATGAATTTCTTGTTGTCTGGGTTGTTCTTGGCTGCCATTATTTAAATATGTCTTATTTATATATTCTGTTACAGTATTATATACAATATTATATACAATAACCACCCAAAGCTGCTCATATCAGATGGTGGTCATATAAATCTAGTAAATTAAATAAAACAATAGACAAAAAGTAAAGTGTAAAATAATGTTCACATACTCACAAAAGACAAAACTCTTTCTGAGTATCCAATCTTGTTTATTTTCCAGTAAAATAAAAATCTTAGAGTGATTAACAACTAAATACCAACTTGTAGGATGGCATAATACAGTTAAAATACATAATACATTTAACCAAATCCCTAATGGAACAGATCAACTTGGTAAGTCATCTAACAAAATACACTTATTCCAATATTTAGGGCCACAGTTTAAAAGTAAAGCAATTGAACTGACAAAATGACAGAGAAATATACTCACATGTAAGGAAGAAGGATCAGGTAAAAATTCAGCATCCTCTCCAAAGATAAAGTCAGGTGGCAACTCAGGATAGTGAGCATTAAAAATTATATCCCCTTAAAACAAGCAAACAGCAAAAAAAAATAATTTACCTACTGTCACAGAAAAAAGTAAAACACTGACTTTGATCATTACACTAACACGGTTAGTGCTTTCTACTTCTCCAGTATTGGCTTCTGTATTTGTCTTGTTTCAAGAAGCCATAAATACTAATCACAGTTTATTTGGCAAATATTAAACTATGGCCAATATAAAATAGCAGGCAAAAGCTTCTGACCTGATCATAAGTATGCCAGACTTTGAGATGTGAAGCATGTATGCCTAAGGCTTCTTGTGGCTTATTCTTCTATTGCTAAAATCAGATCACTTTGAAAAAGAAAAACATTTTAACACTTTTTTAAAAAACCAGCCATTGTTGGAGAGCAACTGTCCCAGTTGGCAGGCGGCTGAAGTGGGAATTAATCTAGACTCACTAAATAAACACAGGAGGGCTAGGTCTGATCCCTCCCCCCAAATGCTTTTGAGCCTTATCTAGTCTTTCCCAGGCAAAAATTAGAAGTCTGAAGAGATTCCTATATTATAGACCTAGAACAATAAAATAGCTAGTTTGAACTCTATACATGTAGGTTTGGTTGTTTGCACCTGGCAAGTATCATTCGATGGTCATCAAAAAGAACTTCCTCAAATGTCAAAAATGAAGTTTACATCGGTGAAACTATGATTGAATTTAATATGAAATACCCATTTATTTACAAGATTAAGTAGACAGGATTGTTTTGAAAATCTTTTTGGAAGTAGCTGTTTGCCCAGAATGTAAACTATACTTCTATGCTCTAAATTAATGCAGTGTTCTAAGACTTTTTTTTTTTAAAATGATTTCCAGAATATGTAAATCTAGTCTCAGTGGTTATAAACAATGGTTTATTCAGGACCTAGGCAATCATGTCTTATTCAAAAATTATGGATGATATAAAATATAGTTTAGTACATTTAAAGAACCCAGTTACCATTCCTGATTTGTCTCCAACTACTATAATTTTGCACTGTAAAACTCTTTGCAGAATACCAGCTTTAATCATTTTTCAAGCCCTTGCTTCATCTTCATCACAAAAAAAAAATAATGTTTCATCTACTGCTGTCAAAAGATAAGCTAGTACTTTCCTTTCAAAGTAAAGTAAATGTTGTGCTTCCTTTGAAAAAGGTTTGGAAGAGAGGCTTCAGAAAGGACAGGAATGGAAACACAGCACCTCTAAAAAAAGCCTTTTTCTGGACTCCTGCATGACTCTGATTACATGGCTGCTTTAATGAGTTAACTCATTAAAATAGCTGCATCTTTAACACAAATAGGCAGCAACATAATTTTCAGGGTCATGTGAAAGCCTGAAAAAAGCTATGGTTATTTTAAAGATATGCTACTTTGTAATAAATCCTTTCCAAATCATTTTTAAAACATACATACCCCCACCAATTAACAATTAATTTCAGTAAATGTTGCTATCTGTTGTAACAAACCATTAAAATTCAAATCTTTTGATGGACTTCAGAAGAGTAGAAGCTATGCCTCAAAATGCCATGCTTCAAAATATTTTATCTGAATTTGCAGTATGACAGCTGTTATGATTGATACTCTGCAGAAAAACCAAAAACTCTTCTCATATAAAGAGGATGTACTAGTACCCACAAAGGAAGCATGCCCTCCTGCTGAGAAACAAATCATGGGCACATTTTCTTACTGCAACATTTCTATGGCCTTCCCTCATTAAGTTCTCCTGTTCTTAAAGATAACAACTATACATCAAGGAACAGGATGTCTGAAGTTCCTTACAAAGATGTCTTTTAATGACTGTTTCACTATTACGAAATATCTGCCAATAAACAGACAAGATCCTCTAAGCAGCTTTTTCACTATTAATTAATAACTATATTATTTCTGCTTGTGCAGTTTTCAAAATATATTGTTTCTACCTAGAACGTGACATACATAGCATTTTTGGTGTAGGTAATACAGATTTGCATATTCATAAAGGCAGAGCTCTAAAGAATGTCACAAATTATGCCTCCATATTAGAATTTTTCATTTTAACTTCATTCTAAGATGTAGATTAGCTAGCACTTTACAATACATCACCCAAACAATGATATGGATGAAAAATGATTCCTATTTTCTCCTGTATTAACCAAAATGTTTGGGTTTGGATCATATTTGCACTCTTCTTTTAAATTAAGCTGCAGGAATGTAGAAAAATCTCGCAAAACCCAGAACCTGTGAATACATGACATTTACATTGCAAATGACATAGTTCATATCAGTGAACAAATGACAATATTTGCCTTGTCTGCATAACAATGTCACTGCAAGTGATATACTCTGATTTAAGAGAAACAGGAATTCTAGAATCCATTCATCTCAATTGGAAATTTAGGTTTCACTATCTTTATAGTGTGTGGGGCTGTTATGTGTGTTTTAAGAATTGCCTTGACAACCCAACTACTTTCAAATAGCAGCTTGCCACTCAACTGTTGTGCCACTTGTGACTCAAGCACATTTAGCAATATGATCAAAAATTCCTTGAGATTTACACTGAAATGCAGTTTAGAACTTTAATAAGTGGTTCGCCATAGAAAGGTAGAAAAGATGAAGTACACTCATCACCATCCTATCTGCTTTTTCTGAAGTGCTAAGTATTCTTTTCAAAATGTTTAAATATACCGTACTCTCCAAAGAATATTTAAATATAAGAGTAGAATCATATCCTATGTTCCTCAAAAGATTACTAATTCATTTATTTATTCCAATCACCAAATAACCCTAGGTAGTTTTACACACTAGGATTAATTATTAAACTAGTCATATACTGTAATTCTTGGGTGCTTGATTTGTCTTGCAACTATGTAACATAATGGTATATATTAAATTATTGTCAACTCCTTTCTATTATCCTGTGTAATAGAACCTTTTCAGAAAAAAGAAAGATATGAACTCTTGCAAGGTTTTCAATTTTTTTTTTGTTTCTCTTCTTCCCACATTTTATATAAAAACACTGAAATCTCAAGAGAATTCTAGCCATCCTCCATACAAATTGCTTGCTTTATGTCAAACGTCCTAATATATTTTTGTGCCAGTATTTCAGTGCATGCTATGTCTCAGGGGCACTCAATCCCCGAGCAAGCGAAACTTCATCTGAGCATGCAAGTGATCTAGGTTGCACGTGAAACCATCCCCCTCTAGTCTGTGGAAAAATAGTCTTCAATGAAACTGGTCCCTGATGCCAGAAAGGTTGGGGAGCGTTGCTGTATCTGACAGTACTATAAAATGTTATTTTTTTAAAAAAAAATGCATTTCAAAAACAACTTCATGTTTAGCCATTGTAAAAATGCAGCATAAATTAATTGATTTAAAGAACTGTTATCCAAATCTGTCATAGTGTGATCAATCTATCTATCTATCTATCTATCTATCTATCTATCTATCTATCTATCTATCTATCTATCTATCCCATTCTGATACACACATACATACATACATCATACACTGTATATATATATATACACACACATACATACAACATATATATGTGCACACACAAATATATACATATATACATACATACAATATATGTATGTACACACACATAAGTTTCCCCCATTTTATTGATTTCTCAATTTATTTTCTATATGAAACATCTGACTAGCACAATGAACAACTTCAAAATATCTACAAATTATAATGCATTAAATATAACAGAAGAAACCGTGAAAGAGGTAACTCACAAAACCAAATTCTACTATACATGAAAGATGCCATGCTACATTAGATACTTCCACCACTGATTCAGTGAGTTATGCTTCTAGTTTATGAGTAATTCACTGTCTTCCTATTTGTTTTCTCCTAATGTCTTAATAAATTTTTCTTAATTTTATTATCAGCCTGATGCACGTCTGTGAATATGTGATGAACTTTTATCAAATGACTTACACAGAAGATACTTTCCATTGAATTAAAAACATCATTACTGGAATGGAAATAACAAACACAAATATCTTTGTTAAAAACAAAATATATTGTTGAGTCTCCTTTTTTAAAACAAGGTCAAGGGGCTAAAGAGAGGTACAGCTGCTCTAGAGTAGCAGTTGAGTGGGGAGATTACAGTATTACCACATGTAATGCTCCTGCATATGTACATAAAGACACAAAAACTATTACTTAAATTAAGAGAGCCTTGTTCAGAAAGAAGCAGCATACAAATGCAGAACTTTAATTGCTGAACTAATAGCAAAATGTAGGCTGATTTGCCTGGGACCCTGGAACTCTACTCACTCAAACAGAGACTAGATTTACATATAAAGTTAAGCTATGGCTTGCTTAAGCATGCCTTACTCAATAAACTTCTGTGTTCAGATCACATGCTAAGATAAAATGAAATATAAACAAAGTATATGTTAAGAACTTAGTATGATTTTGGGACCAGCCAGAAAGTTCAAATATTTTTTTCAACCTCAATTGCTAGTGCTACAGCAAAGCTGACTGACAGTATGAATGAAAGAGCAAAAATAAGTTTTCATTTCTCTTAAAAAGCTAACAGAGGCAAAGAACTGGCCTTGCACCTCCTTCCTTGATGTCCTGTCCCTAACAAAATTGCTGTTAAAATTGTTCAGTTTTCTACTTAACCCTTTTTTTAAAGTTGTCTAAACTGGCTGCTTCCCATTCTAACTATGAGTTGTATGAACAGGCCTTATCTACCATTTGATATATTTTCAATGAGCCACAACCTCAAAATCTTTTCTTAATTAGCCACCATCGGCATCTATGTAAAATCAGAATTATTTACTGAACCTTCTCATTCTACATCTGATTGCAGTAACAGATTTGCAGTTTATCTGCCTGTTCATTCTGCTTACAGCAATGATTTAAAATTCTTCACAATACTTTTACCTGTTTGTTTTAAACATCATGAATAATCCGCTACAATCAAAAACTTGGCCACTTTTATCTTTAGACAGTCTCCTCCCTCTGACTGCCATGTGGGTTTCTTCCCGCCAGCTACAGGTTATATGGCACCTTAGGCCACATTAATTGATAGTTCCATCTCCCACCAAAGAGAAGATTTGCGTTTTTATAATGAATTAGAAGGAGAAACGGCATTGGTGTCCCAGTACTTACTTAGCCTAAAACTGACCCAACCTTTGCATGGAGTGAATGGTCACTACTTGAACACAAATGTTAAAAGAAAAAGAATAATATCAGCAGAAACTACTAAAAATATTACTAACACAATAACAATTTAAATAAATAAAAAGATGTCCACTTGATGGAATATAGAACAGACATCAGGCAACTTTCTATAAGGAATGAGTTCTACAGATGAGAAAAAGCAAAAAAGGCCTACATAACAGAAATTATTAATTTAGCTACAGAATCAAAAAGCCAGTGAAGATTTGCAGATTATTTTAAGGTACTAAGTACTTACATTTTAATGTTTCTCCAGCATATGGAATATGCAACTTAAATCGATCACAGCTTGGTCCAAGGGTTAATGATGTGCAGCTACAATTAAAAAAAATACTAATCTGAGTTTTTATGATGATTATAGGTGTTACTCATATTGTAATTACATAAAATTAGCTATATAAAGTACTGCTATATAAAGTACCATATATTAAGAACTTTACTGTGTTTTTAAATGTTTTCTACTATTACATATATTACTTGTTTTGGGGGACAAAAATGTGGGCTACATGTTGGCAAGCTGTACAAAGCAAAATAAAGTAGGATGAGCCCAAATGCTCAAAAATATCCAAATAACTGCAATTACACCTGCTTCAAAAGGTTTCTCCATCTCTAACATATGCACAGTCAAAATTTCTGGTCACTAAGACTGCAATCCTATATTTTTCCCTTATTGAACAAAGAAAGTCCATTTTTATAAGAGACCATTCTCAGGATTCTGTTTTGGGAACTGTTAAGAGGAAAGACCTAAAATTAATGCCACAGTGCTGCAATGGGAGCCTCTGGGAGTACCCAATGTCTTGCTTAATGCTATTCAGTATCTGCATGTTTCCAAGCTACTAAACGCTTGTGGAGATTTGGCAATGAATACACAATCCAAATCAAAGAGTAAGTAGCCTATGATGCCAGGGAAAAATTACAGTACAGTATTTGAAGCTTACAATGCACTCTTAAATAGAAAATCTTACTTTTAGGTTTTCCTCAACAAAATTATTTCTATTGTGCACTCAAACTTATGAAGACATCAGATTTTGCATCATTTTTTTTTTTTTTTGCTTTAGGCTACATTCTGATGAATCCTAAATCCTTCTTAACAATAACAAATATTACCTATTAATATTTCATTTTTCTGTAGTTTCATAGCATGCAAAATGAAAATGGTTTTGGCTACGTGACATACAGTAAATCCAAATTATTGTTAGCATTTCTACCACTTGGTTGCAGGGCCAAATGTTTTTGTCCATTTCAAACAGAAAAAGCCATTAATGTGTGTTTTGTTGTTCAGGTAACTCTTCACTGATTAAGCTGAGAGGAAATGATTGGTTCAAGGTGGCCCATGTGTTTAAAGAAGGACTAGAAACTCAATTTCCCAATCTTAGCCCAACACCTTAATCATTACGCCAGACTAGCTGTTTACATGAATCCAAGGAGACTTTTGAATGTAAAAAAATGTTTCAGATTTTGCAAGTATAGTATTTCCTTTTTGTCTATTGCTCAAAAACAAATGGAGAAGGATATATCTGGTATTATAATAAAAGAGATATTTAATAACAGTAATCTTAAAAGCAACACTAAGTATTTTTCGAGGCTCTTAAAGTCTGCTTTCTAAAATATTTTACTACTCTAAAGTGAAAGCTGACAGCATACGCAGTTGCATTTTGCCCAATTATTTCTGTTTGAGGAAGCGTCACATGAGATTTGAAAAATGGCTATTATCTGAACAACAAAAGGCCCACCTTGGAAAAATTACCCAAATACCTGCAAAGAGCTATAAAAAGTTCCAAGAATCAGGAAATAATGCTAATAATGCAGTAATTTTAGCATTCTTATGCCAAGAAGTATGTGATATATAAAGTATTTATCTATGACTTTCCTAGTTATATACAGCACATAAAAACTGAAAAGAACTATCAAGCTTTTATTTACCACAAAAAGAGCAAGAATTTTCCAAGACAAAATTCCTTGACAGGAGCCCATCAATATTATTTACGATTTTTCAGTTCATTTCCAAGGCAGTTCAAACAGAGGAGTCTGTATTTTTAAAGATCTAAGTAGTAAGTAGTTAAAAAAATGACTTCTAACTGTAAAGATTTTCTAGAAGAGATCTTGTTCAGTGCCCCAATACAGTTGGAAAGCATTCTGGGTCATTATCTATAAAAGAATTCTTTCAATAATGGAACCTAGAGTTAAAACGTATTGTAGGTTCCTTCTTTGCTCATTTTTAGAAATTCTGTCTATACCTTAATATTCAGATCTTTATTTTTTCTGGATATTAGTCTACTTTCTGGATTTAAGACTTTTAATCTTTGTTCTTTCTATGACTGTATCAAATTGACCCTATATTGTGCTCCTTATTTACTCTAGGTCAGGAGCATTAGCAGTCAATTTGGCTGCCCATAATTGATACAATAAACAAATTGTAAGCTTCTCAGCTCCTTCTTGTATTATAATTATATGAACTAAAGCTAGTATTGTAAATGCGCTTATTACATTATGTGAACATTGTTTCTTTTATCGCCTAAAGCATAAAAATGGCAGCTATTAGATTATACCCATGTTTCTCTGAAACTAAGACCGGGTCTTATACCGTATTTCCCCAAAAGTAAGACCCAGTCATGGAACTAAAAAAAGTTCAGTCAGATCTTCCAACTTCGTGATTTTTTTTTTTTTTTTGCGAACTCTGTTTCCCTGCAGCAGGAGAGAAACATGCCAGAGCTGGAAAGCAGGTTAGTGAAGAATTTTTTTTCCTTTTGGGAAGAGGGAGGAGCTGGGCAATGGTGCACCAAGTTCTATAACAGCGCCGGGAGGAGAAGAAGCAGGAAACAGAGCTGCCATTTCGAGAACGGAGAAGGGAGATATGGGGCAATGCAGGGCGGCAAGCAAGTGCTCTTCTCTGCTCTGCATCGCTGCGCAGAGCCGTTCTGCTTCCCACTCTCTGTTCTCTCCAATGGTGGTGACGGAGCGCTGGCAGAGAGAGGCGGCGGTCACGGCACAAGCCAAGAGAGAGTTGGCGGAGGAGGAGGTGGTGGCTGCTGCCAGGCAGGTGATCTGTTGGACAGAGCGTGAAGAAAGCCCCTCCAAGTAGTGCACCGCAGCAGCAGAACCTTTCGCCGTCAGTTCCCCCCTGGCTCCGAAACAGCGGAGAGGGACCAGGTCTACCCTGCCCATCCTCCATAGGGTAGCATGGTAGTCTGGCTCGGGAGGTGAGTGAAAGGGAGCAAGGAATGGCCTGGCTGGAAGGACCCTGAAGGAAGCGGGTGTGGGGCAAGTGGGGCAGTTCCACCCCCTCCTCCACCTGCCTCGCCTCATTGTGGCGGCAGCAGTGTGATGTGCCGCGCAGCCTCCTGCCCCATTGTGGCAGCCAGGTGGATGGAGTAGGCAGGATCCTAATTAGGGCTTATTTTTGGGATAGGGCTTATATTATAAGCATCCTGAAAAATCATGCTAGGGCTTATTTTCCGGTTAGGTCTTATTTTCGGGGAAACACGAAACATAGGGAAACAAGACAAGAAGTATTGACAGAAATATTATTCGTAGCATTTGTTTCACAGCATAAAGTTATTATTAGTTTTATCTCTAGTTTTACAAAAGAAACAATGACATTGATTTAGCGACTGTTCAAAGTTACAATGGCACTGAAAAAAATGACCTACGACTAGTCTTATGACCATCACAGAATCCTATCAGGTGAACAAAATTCAGGCTCTTCACCACTGGCATCTATTTATGACGGTTCCAGGGTTATGTGATTGGCATTTGTGACCTTCCTTCAATAAGCAAAGTTAATGGAGAGGTCTGGATTCATTTAATGACTGTGTGATTCATTTAATTGCATTTATTTGTTTAACAACCAAGGCAAAAAAAACCATAAAATTGGGCACAACTCACTTAACAACTGCCTTGTTTAACAATGAAAATTCTGGTCCCAATTTTGGTCATAAATCAAGGACTACTTGCATTACAAACAGTTTATGGACAGTCCATCAATCACCAATTGTGAACCAAGTTAAGAACCACTATCCCATTTAGGTTTCAAATTTTATTCAGGTAGAAAAACGATGTTAATGACTATTGGAAACTGCTGCATATCAAATCAAACTATTCAGATGGACTGAAAATTGCTCTCTAAGGTTACACACCGAGATCTTTCCAAATTCTAATGTGGCAAAATGTGGCACTCCTTTTATGCAGGAAAAGCAGCATAAAATATTCATCACAAAGTGGAAGACCTGCCTTTACTCATTCCATATACCACTCTACTCACCTTTGAGCATTTCTTGGTCAAAACAAAATATTTGGGATTGTAAATTCTCTGGAAAAAGTCTTAGCCATGACCCAAACCAAGAATACCACACCACTTGTCTTTTCTATTTTGAATGAAAAAATGTGTGAAATGTTCAGTTCTAGTGACCAGATGAGCCATTAATCAATCATATCCAACAATTCAGTTTCTTCTCTTTTGTAGAACCAACTAAAGGAAGACAGCAGAAGCTATAGCTGAAAGGTGCTGTAATTATTCATATAGAAATACTCATCACATGTGCCTTTCTACCATTTTCTCAAGCCCTTGACCAAATGGCCTGAAAACTTCCCACAAACTAAAAAATTGGCACAGATATACCTTTAAACAGGTATATTGACATAGATATACCTTTAAACAGAAACACCTAACAATGGAAACTCTTCCAATTTTGTTTGAGAAGTGCTATTAAGCATGTTCCACAAATCTTTATAGAATCTAAAAAATAATAATTTTACTTCCCACTTAATTAAAACATCAAGATTATGTATTAAGTGAATCATGAGTATCTAAGAATTTAATCTCAATTTTGGGACTCAGTCCCATCATTCTATGTGCCTCTTATGACCTTGGTTGGATAGTCTCCATTTTGCTCTAGTTGTATGCTAAGCAAGCACATGAAGTTTTATTCAGTTTATCAATTCTTACTCAAATAAGACATACGCAAAACTATGCTAATCACAGACTGAGAGTGCAAGGTGAGTTAAGTAAAATATGACATTTGGAATATGACCAAATCAGAGAATCTGCAGAGGTCTACAAAAATCATTTTAATATCATATATAATAAGGCAATGAATCAGCACCACAGAGATCAAATTCAAGCTTCCCTTCAGCTATGGAAGTTCACTGGCTAAGTTTCAGCATTCATTCTCTCTCAATCCAATATACTTCACAAGGTTATTGCTGTGCAGAAAAATAGGAGAATAGTTTGATATGTACACCAGCAGGAGCTCAGGCAGGCAGGCAGGTAGGCAGGCAGGCAGGCAGGTGGGCTGCCAGACGAAACTTTGAGAGAGTATTCACCCAATATTAAAACAACTAGTCATCTAAAATAATTCCCACTTTATTCTAATGAGAAAGTAGAACATGATATTGACACAATATGCTCAACATTTTAGACTCACTTGTGAAAAATAAAATATTTGGAATGACTGATGAAAACTAATTTCACTCTTAAGTGTTCTGCACAAACCAGGAAATCTTTGCAAACATGTAAAATAGATCAGAAAGAGCTTCTTTTATTCAAACAAATAAAAAACATTAAAAGTTCTTAAAGATATTTGAAAATCAGCCCTCAGAATAAGGTCATAACTTAAATTTATTACAAGATAGCTTACCCAGATTTCAGATCAGTAATCCTTAAACAGTTAGTTGCATCCAATCCCACTTTTCCATTTCTGACTACATTGGAGATCAAAGGAGAAAGTGATGGAGAAATTCTGTTTAAGGCAACTTCAGGAGACATATTTTTTGTAAGTTATATTCAATTCTGCAAAGAAAATAAGAAAAAGTAAGAAAGAGCAATTCCGTTTCTACATATCTTCACATTTTAAGAATTTGAAAGACCTCAGAGACACAGATGGAAAAAGGATAAAGGCAAAAAACCTGAAGTAAAGAAAAAAGCATAGAATTTATGAAGACTGCAGTAAACAAGTAGGATCAAAGCCATTTAGAAAGATAAAAAGAAGGATGTTTGGGCAAGCATTCACCTAAATAAAGCCTGCATGGTCTCTTTAAAATACACATTCATACACATGATTTCTCAAGCTCTTAACCATTATGTCCATTACTTAATTCCGATGGACAATGCAACTTACGATCTTCAAATATGAGCACAATTTGCTACTAGTTTAATAAACCTCCCAGGCTTATTGCTTGCCAAGAGAGGATCAAATGCTTGGCAGACAAAATATATGGATGGTTCAGCATATTGCAAGTTGTTCAGGCCATAAAAATGTGTTCAATGAAGTAAATAAAATTTCAGCACTGAACTTTAAACAGTACTGTTCAAATTTATTTTACATTGAACTCAACAATCACCAGCACATTTAATATGGCTCAATTTTGGCAAAAGAGAAAGCTTAAATAATGAATGTCATATAGTATCTGATATGGGTTATGCTGCATTTATTCAAATTATTCAAATAAAATTACAAAAAATGGAATAAAATAAACAGCAAATTTATCATGTTTTCTTTTATGAAACTTATATATGGGGTCATATGAAACATTATGGCAGCTCATTAATCATATGCATATGAATAAAAAGTTCAGGAAAGACATGGTAAGTAGACAGTTGTTGGCAGTCATTTATTGAATAACATTTTACATCCCACTGTTTAAAACAAACACCCGCTAGAGTAAATAATTTTCATGTGACTCCCAGGACCTAATGTCCTTGAACATACCTTTAATTAAAAAAAACTTCAGTCAATGCAGAGACAGGTAGTCTTCAACTTATGACTGTAATTGAACCCAATTGTAACTTGTGCTGATGTTTAAGTGGGTCACCATATGACTGTAGTTAATTTTGTGATCTTTTTTCAGCGATTGTTAAGTGAACCCATTGTAACTAATGGTTTTGGGGTTTTTTTGCAGGAAATTGAAATTAAACTCGTTTCTGGCAAAAAAAGGTCATAAATCAGTTATGTGACCATGGTGTATTGCAAATGACTATAGTGTGGACTGATTGTCAAGTGTCCAAAATGCAATTATGTGACTTTGGGAAGGTTAGGGTTAGGGTTATAAGTAGCTCTGGGAAGGTCCATTGGAACTTTGAACATTTGCTAAATGATAGATTGCAAATTAAGCAGTACTTTTACTGCTAAAATTGACTCATGCATTATTAAGGATTCCTTTTTAATACTGACGTGTAATAATAAGTTATTTAACTCGGAATAGCAGGTTTACCCATTAACTCTGTGTTTTGAATGTTTTTTCCCCAGAATGCTCACAGTTATATGAACTTTAATAAAGACAGCACAGGACTCTGGCTCTTTCTATCCCAGCCTCACTATGCCACTCTTAGAAGTGCCCCAAAAGAATCTTAATAATCCAGGAGAGGTTTAGCTGTTGGACAGGAAGCATCTACTTGTTCTTAGCTGATCTTGAAAAACGAGCTTTAACCTAATTATTTTGATGACAGCACCATAAAATTCTGAGCTACAGGGTTGAATAAGGAATATTTTACTTAGAGGGAGGAACCAATATCCAACCATGTCTCCTCCATTAGAAGATAGATTTCACATTTAAGTAAAAATATTGCACAAAAATATTTCTCAAGTATTCCAAAGCCAATAAGCAACCTAATACTAAAATGTAGACTGAATACATACAGGTGGAGGATTACAACTGAGGCAACAAAACAGCTTCTGAAAATGGAAATCCAGATTCAAATCCATCCACATCAATAAAAGCTTTGGAGGGCATTTCTTTAATTAAATGATTAATTTAATTAATAGAAATTTGTTTAGATGCACGACAATATAAAAACACAGCTAAAATGACTATGGTAACTTTACACAACTGATTCAAAGCCAATAATCAATCAACTAATATTAAAAATTGGAGAGCCATTGTGGTGTTGGACTAGGTCTAGGAGCAGGTTCTAGCCCACCTTCAGCCATGGAAGTTCACCAGCCAACTTTGGGCCAGTTATAACATTTCAGCCCAACTTATTTCACAGGGCTGCTGTTATGGGAAACCTACATATGTTGCCTTGAATTCCTGTACAAAATGAAAGATATATAGCTAATACATAAATTAGCTAATAATCCAGACGATATGCAGTCTTTCTGAAAAGATCATTACTTCATTACTTTCTAGAAGGCCCTGAGAAGGCCAGCCTAGCTTCTAGAGAGGTTTTTCCACAATATAGGTCCCTTTTGGCTTCAGGCCCCATCATCTTAGAACTGAGGTATCATGAACAGAATCTCCTGGAAGATTTTTCTTGATAGGCCAACTCTGGTTGGATTAGCTGATCCTGAAGTTCAGGAGCATCTTGCAGCCCAAGCAACTTCACAGAGCTGCTGTTCTGGGAGAGAAAAAGGCATAGAGCGACATTTGTCGACTCAAAACATCTAAAGGAAAAATATATTTAAAAAGTATAATATAGGATTTTGTGCCATCAAGTTGTCTTTGACTCCTAGTGGCTACGTTCTCCGTGATGAATCACATACGAAGCCTGGCTCCCAAATTTATCTGTTAATAACTGACCATTGGCTATAGCAAGTATTAAAGATACCAGGCTCAACCTTAGTAAACATCTGCAAGGATTTTTAGTTTTGATGTGTTTCGCCAATGGTAATGGAGCAATCATTCTGAGCGCTACTCAGCGAAAGACAAGAGCATAAATATCAAGGCTTGGAGGGGGAGGGGCCGTATGCATCCGATAAAAAAGGGGTAATGCAAGAATGAAAGCTCCAATTTCCACCGCAGGAACTCCTACACTTGCCGCTGAATCCCACAGCAAGGAAGAACAGGCACAGGAAACGCAGGTGACACAGCCACCCAGCCCGCCTTGAACCGGCTCGGCTTCCTCCGGCCTCCCTCAACCACCACCGAGACTTAAGGACACCTGCAGAAGGATCAGAAGAAGCGCTTACAAACCCCGAAACTGCGCCGACCGCTCGCCTCTCCCTCGCGCCGCGGGCGCCTGCGTGGATCCGCCCACTAAAGCCTGGCACGCTACAGTACGTGCGCGCCGCGAGCCGCCTTGCAGACAAGTCGAGCGCCCCGCCGATCCCTCCTCGAAAGCCGAGGAAAGGAAAGCGGGCCTTCCCGAATCAGTATAGGTGGTCTGCGCGCGCCTGACTTGAATACGGGGTTTTTATATATATATATATATATATATATATATATATATATATATATATATATATATATATATATATATATATATATATATATATATATATATATATATATATATATTATATATATATATATATATATATATATATATATATATATATATATATATATATATATATATATATATATAATATTATATATATATATATATATATATATATATATATATATATATATATATATATATATATATATATAAAACGACGATATATATATATATATATATATATATATAAAACGACGAGGACGATGTTGCAGCAAGATTCTGTACTGACAAGTGGTCTCGTCCGTTGGGGGGCACGTAGGCAGCGAGTTAGCGTGAAAACATGTTAAAAAGATTCGTCAGGCATTTCAAAGGGGTAGCCTACTAGATCCGTGAAGGACCCCGCAGGTAAAGCGGGGTTAGATAAACTGGAAGTTCGATAATAGGCGGATATAATGTTGAGGGCGGCTGGAGGAGAGGCAGGTTAGAGATCACGTTGCGGAGAAAAAGTTTCTTGTAGTGGCTCCTTGCTCGCTTCTCAGCATGGTAGTTGCAGAAATCGTCGTGGTGGGATCCTGTATGACAGATCTAGTGAGGTTAGTATTGTACACAAGGCCCTGCTTTTCCCTAAGTCAATACAAAAAAACTGGTCCGAGCAAATAAATCAGAGACTTTCTTTTACATTGAAAGAAAAGGATTGGATCCAGAGGCGCTCAAACTCTTCAATTCACTAACCTCTTCCTGAAGTTTCAGATCGTTTATTGACCCTCCAAATATTTATTGTATTAAACTAATTTAATTAATACTACTTTTAACTGACAACACTTATGACTTAATAATGGATTGTCCTGCCAACTCTTGGAGTACAGTATGGACCACTTTGGGAAAAACTTAATTTATGCTAATCCTAATCATTTGAAATATTACCTTAAAAAGAACCTAATATGAAGCAGTCCTGAGAGTTTTAATCCACATTTGAGTTAAAGGAGATTTTGCTGTGTAAATAAAACAGCTTGATCATTTAAGTATGATTATTTGCTTCCTAATTTGTGGTATTTTTACCTGATGTAAACAGATTTTTGTATGTAGGCTGATCAGAAATTATCAGATCTACTGATTGTGAGCATGTTTGTTTTTTTCTAATGATGCTGTTGTGCCATGATAAAATGGAACTAGAAAAGCAATACTGGCTATAAAGTAGAACTGTTCATTGGATATCTTTGTTCCCATCCATGACCTCACAAACTGTTGTAATCAGGGCTTTTTTTTGTCATAGAATGCCCAGAATGGAGTTCCGGCACCTTTTTGGGATGGAACCTTGTAGGGTAGGCAAGGTGGCTTGTATGACATGTGTGAGTTCCGGCACCTTTTTTTTTTTTTTTTTTTAAAAAAAAAGCACTGGTTGTAATCATTGAAAATTTAAAATACCCTTTATGTTAAAAACAGTCTCATCTGTAGGATAAGAAAGAAAAATCTAAATGTATACAGTGTTGACACGAAGAGATGCAAGAACCTATTGTAAGACTAAAATAGCAATATAAATAGTAACATTGCTAACTCTTATGTAGTACTGTTTAAGAAATCCATGAAGAAACATACATCAGAAATATCTCTAAATGTTTGTGCAAATCAACTTTTTTATTTATTCCTAGATTTTCAGATCAGAAATTTTCATCTCCTCTTTACACAAAGCATAGAATCAAATGAGAGTTCTAGAAGAGACAGTATATTTACAATTTTGATTAAAAATATTTATTTTAGGGAGATTTATTTCTAAATATGCTTGAGAGATACAGTACAACTTGTTCTTTAAAGTTGTTGAAACTTTAGGGCAAATGTATATAACATTTGATTCTGCTTTACTTCCAGTCTCTTTCATCCCATTGAATCAGGGAGAACCTGCCTGAATTTCTTATTTCTTTAAGGATTTAAGGAATGTTTATTTGCTTATATAACAGTTCTTGCCTATTTTTTACAAGGTCATCTCTCTGACAGTTTATCCCAGCCATACATACATACATACATACATACATACATACATACATACATACATACATATATATATATATATATGGCTGGGATAAACTGTCAGTATTAAGGCTTGTAGCATTTCAGATTTGGTTCACCTTAAAACCAAGTATACTTTTTCCCAAGATTGCAGTACATTTATGTGAATTGCAGAACATTTCTGCCAAATGATTTTGAAGTGTGCACTGACGGAATCAGAGACCAGTCATTGCAGGGTGCAGAAATGACCTTACTGCCTTCGCAGTGTTTATTATACATTTTTCCAAGCAGCCTAAAGCAACAGCATAGCAACGGCATTTTTATTGGTAGATTCTCCTTGTCAATCCTTAAGAATATCTCAGCCAGGGGCACCAACCAGGGGCAGTTTTCTGCTACATCCTGTTGGTGTGAACGAGGTGAGATCATGTGAACCAGGTGAAATCATGTACCAGCCTGGTGTATTTTCCTACATCACCATGGCGATATGAACGAGGTGAGATCATGCATTTGAACTGAGGCAGTTTGCTGCACATGAACTTTACATGACCTCAATCCCTACATCTCACTCTTTTTTGTTTTGTTAGACGAAACATCGTCATAAGAGGGGTTAGTAAAAGGATCATAATCAGGAGAGGAACATCCTTGCAGTTGTTTATATAGGGCAAAAACTTGATCCTGAAGCAATGTGGGAGAGGGTTTGCGGCAAAAAGCTTTGATACATATATTGCAAAAGGAAGGGATACACTGAACAAAGCAGCACCCACCAATCAAAATAGCACAAGTAATAACTGAATAACACAGGATATTTCCCAGTAATCCTGTGGGCAATCAAGCCCAAAGGATTTCCCACCAAGATCCTAAAGTATCAATTTTCAAATCAGAGGCCAAATTGTATAAAATATTGATCTGGTGCTGGATGGTTCGTGACTCATCTGAAATGTTGAAACAACACATTCCTTCAAAATTTTCACAACCCAAATACTGGCGCAGAAGCAAATAATTGATAGCAGCGCAATTTTGCAAGATAGCCTTTCTCAAATCTTGCAGCTCATGGTTGATTGCTGAGATAGCTGAAGAAGTAGCATTAATCGTTTTTGCTAAATTACACGCAATAGCGTTAATGTTGAGGTGAGCATGAACAGCAAGTCCTAGCACACCCACTAGAGACACAGCCAGCGCTACATATTCTGCTTTATTAAGTAAGGCTGTCTCAGAGTCACAAGTGCTATCTAGAGTGACCCCCACGCCAAGAACGGTTTGAGTGAAATTGTTGTTTGGAAAGCAAAACAGGAATCAGCCAGCTGAGGCAGCACTGCGCTTCACTAATATTAGCAGGAATATAATTAAAAGTTTCTTGACCACATGTAAAAAACCATCCTTGCGGTAGCCAAACATGGCCAAAATTAAAGGAAGTCTCTTCAAAAGCTGTGCAATTTAAAGTAGGTGAGCTAATGCGATGACAGTGAGGGTTTTTACTTGAAGATGTACAATTAACTACTTTAGCACATGTTATATTTGCAGGGATTGCTACCACCGGGGTGTGCAAAGCAATAGTGTCGGGGTAGATAATAAGCAGTGACACCCTCCCCCATCTAGCTATAGCCCCATAGTTAAAGTTCTTATTTAATAAAATTCTGCTCAAGCCAGTGAAGTTTTGAATTACTGCAGAAGAGGTACAAACAGGGACTAAACATGTAGAAAGCAAATTTTCCATGTCATACGCTTCAGAAAAGCAAAAGACATCATTTTGTGTGATGTTAGCTAGCTGCACCCATAGGTTTTGCTTCATTCGTTGTTCGAGCAATTGTTTGGGTGGGATGGCAGCTGCTGTTGCCAAAGGGCAGCTGTTAATAATCAAACACAAACAAATGATGGCTAAGGAATTTGCAGTTAAAACCGCAAAAATGGCAGCGCACAGGTTCTCGGGTGTTTGCTTTACTTGCTGCTGCTGCAGCACTGCCTGCACTTTGATGGTCAAGTTCTTCACATCTCCCCACGTCACTGGCCAACTGGCACGACGGGATCGGATTGGTCGCTGTGCCGTCTATAGAGTCACCCTTGCCATTTCTGGGACCAGATCCAGGGACTGGTGCCACAACATCCTTGGCTGGGCGGACGCAACATGCTGGAATCCACAAAGGTCCTTTAGAAGCAAACACAGCAGCATAGCCTCGCCCCAAGTAATCAGAGGGACTGGTCCCAACCATGCTTTGTCTGGTAAAGCCCGATAATATACCAGAGGTGGAGGCAAGCGTGTTTTCTGTTGAAAGTGTCCCTGATAAGCAGTGGAATTTTGAATGAAAACATTCAATTGGTTTAATGTAAATAATACTTTTTTAACCTGTTGTGTTACCCACGACAAATTGGGTATCCTAGAGCCCTTTTTTATTTGTTTGTGGAGGCAGTCCTTAAAGGACCGATTAGCACGTTCCACGATGGCTTGACCCATGGAATTATACGAGAGACCATGAGTAAGAACAATATTCCAGGTTGTACAAAATTGCAAAAAGGCCATTGAAGAATAGGCTGACCTGTTATCAGTTTTTAAAGAAGAGAGCTTACCCAAGGCTTTAATGGCCGAAAAAAAATGAGAAAAACATGATTAGCTGTTTCCCCTCGTTGAGATGTGGCCCAAATTGCTCCTGAATAGGTATCAATAGATAAATGAATATACTTCCAAGGAGCCAAAGAGGGAACATGGGTAACATCCATTTGCCATAATTGATTAGAGGTGAAACCACGGGGATTAACTCCTGTGTCCCCCGAAGGAGATGCCCCAGAACATTGGGGACAGGATGAAACAATCTGCTTGGCTTGATCGAGTGGAATATGGCAAGCTTGTGCCAGCCCCCTAACATTTTGATGAAAAAAAGTGACTGAAAAAAGGGTCAGAAAATAGAGTGAGAAAAACATGAACTGCAGCGTCAGCATGACTATTGCCTTCAGAAAGAGGCCCAGGAAGGGAGGAGTGACTGCGTATATGAGAAACAAAGTATAAATACTTTCGGTTCTGTAGCAGTTGCTGTAAAGTTAAAAACAAAGCCATGTGATTGGAGTCAATCCTGGGCATGATATAAGCACCTGGAAGATTAAAAATAAGTTGAAACGCATAATGAGAGTCAGAGATTAAATTAAAAGGTTGTTGAGAAAAGGTGTGAAAAGCTAAAATAGCAGCAGATAATTCTGAGTGTTGCGGTGAAGATTGCACTGCAGTGTAGGACACTTTCCAGGTGTCATGAGGATCCTTGTAAGCAATTGCTCCTCTCGTTCACCCTCCATCAGAAAAAATAGTAGGAGCTTGTGGCAAGGGAGAAGGAAAAAGCAATGGGCGAACAGGAAAGGAAGAAGTCATTAAACAAGCAAGCCAAGGATCCTTAGGCAAATGATATGAAATACAACCAACATAGTCAGTTAAAGCACACTGAAGAGATAAGTTATTCCGAAAATAAAATTGAAAATCATTTTTAGGGAGAGGAAGAACAATATTCTCAGTCTTCCAAAGTGAGGGTGGCATCCAACTTACTGAGCAGGTCACGTCCCCAAAGGCTGACATGAATATCCAATATAAAGGGGCGGACCTGAATAACCA